CCCCAACATCTTGAGCCTTTCCACCCACAGTCATGTAGAAATCCTACAGCAATGCGGAAATACCAGGTAGGCGTGGAAGACATCCACAAGCTGAGACCTTGCTCTCAAAGAACAGTACAACATCAGGTAGCACAGGTGCAAACGAAGATCAGATCTATAGGAAGAGATGTCCTTTTTTATGCTAACTATACTATGGTACGAGTGTTGCTTTATAATTTGGGAAAGTGTGGTTTGTATATGAGGATTACTAGAATGAAAAAGTAGACTGGCTCCACAGAAGGCAATTCTAAAATAAGTAACACTCAGACTAGTCTCAAGCCACTGAGAAAACGAAGCATGCTAGGTTTTTTTTTCCCCCCCTTCTTGTAACACACTGTTAAAGCCCTTTTCTCATTACTGCATTCCAGAAAGCTTTCCTGGAATCTGTAGGCTTATGTAGCTTCTGATCTTCCTACTTCCACAGCTAAAAAGCTGAAAATAGGAGAAGCATTTCCAGGCCAATTAAAAAAAGGCATTAGCAATTAAGTTAAACTCATGCCACCTATCTATCTGCTTAGTGAATGTAAATATAGTCTAGTAATTCTTCACTTGTGCAACTTTGGTGCTAGTGTCAGGAATCTTAATATAATCTTAAATGAATCCTGTAGCAGTGCATCAGAATAATCTCACACTTAAAGGGCAAAAAACCAAAGTAACCATCTTCAGTGTTCAACCCCCCGAGATCTGGATTTGAAGAGACAGAGTCCATTAACTGGAAGCAACCCAGTGACTCAGCACATGCAAGTGCAAGAAGATAGTGCACTCTTGGCAGCAAAATGTAAGTGGGCAGGGAAGGAAGCCAGCCTGGAAAGTGCACTGAACAACAGTATGTACAAAGAGCAGGCGTTTATGGCACTCGTATCAGGTCTTAGTTTTAAGTAATTTTAAAACTGACCCATTATGCCTTACTAAAACATGCTAGCAAACATGATATCCTCTGAAAGATGTAACATTTTGAATGACTGTCTGAGCAAAGCACTGTACTCCTGAATGCCATTAAGCGCAGCTAATTAATGCAGATCATAATACAAAAATTAGTTTCCAACTCAGTACATTACTGCCAGGTGCAAAAAATGGTCCAAGGGGATACAAATCTGCACAGGAAGGTGCTAGTCTGCACGGTGGGGTTGGGTGGGGAAATATGTTTGACAGTACTTCTGCAAACTCTGCTTACGCCATTTGCTGCAACATGTCAACAGTACAAAAAAATCTGGTCTTTCACAAAGACACTCAGAGCACTACCTACCTGTAGCGAACACTAAGCCCCTGCTTGTTCTATATTTTCTGCTCAGAAATACAGGTCAAGCAGGTCTTCTGAAAATCTGGTTTCTTGAAAAAAAAAAAAGTCTAGACAATTAAAACTGGCAAAGCTACCAGCTTTGTTTCCAACAGGCTTAACATTTTGCTATGCGAAAATCAACCTGTAGCAGAGATAAGTAGCTTGAGCTAAAATGCTCAATGTTCAAACTTTGGTTCTAGTCTGAGCGCAAGATTTTTGAAAAGTGCTAAGTAATCCAAACGTGTTTTTAGTACCCAACATATATCACTTAATGCAGCAGTTACTGTACAACAAACTAACTTTGGAGAAGGAATTTATATTTTAAGACAGATGTGACAGAATTAAAGTGCATCAAGTGCAAACTAGCTACAGGTCTAGTGCAACTCCTTTCCATTGGGCAAAGCCTGTATGAACAACCTCCTATAGAGTACTTGCAGCAAGTAGCACTTGTGCAGCTGAAGCAGCTTGAAAAGCAAAGGAAAGCTTATACAACCGTGTACAGGCTAGACACGGACATTTAAGACACTTCTACTTCTCATCTAGTAAGCACCTGACAAGCCTTCCTTCACCAGACACCTCATGTAGACACAAAAAATTTCATGGGGCCAGCACTGTCTGCTTCGTTCTGCTGCCTTCCGCATTTCTTCCTGTCCCAAGTCCACATGACAAATCTTCAGGCAACAACCCAGTAGAACTCCCACATTCAGGTGAGGTATTGAGCATATTTCAACACTTCAACTAGAAGCTCCACTGAGAGATAGCAGGACAATTTCAAATTTGGCCTTTTTCCTCTAAGGTTTTCCTGATGGAGTGGAGGAAGAAATGCCTTCAAAGATGCCAAATGATTTAAGAACAAACTCCTACGCACTCAGAGATTCTCATGCTCCAAAGCCTGCTTCCTTTTATCTTTTTTGGCAACTTACACAATACAGATGCCTATCAACACAATCTGATAGCACAGCAGAAGCGTAACATTTGCTAGCTGTGTAGAACAGACATTTAACAAAATTACTATTATACGAATATGTTCTTATCCCAAGAAAGTATCATATTTAACTCTGGCATGACTGTCACACAGAACAGACTTGCAACCTGCATGTTTTATACCTCCCATGTAAAACAAAGAAAGCAATTAAACCGAACACACTGTTCTCTGTAATACAGAGAACTGTAAGTTAAGGACCCGGCCATGGCTGGCAGTTAAAAATGATTGTACACATTCACCCAGGCGAGCATCTTGAGGTTTCTTTCAAAAGGAATATCAGAATGAAGAAAAGCAGTAACTCCTGCATTAGGGATTTTAAATAATTTGCTTTGTTAACCAAGATAACTATTGCCATACTCTCACTTCCATGAGATAATGCCCAAAAAAGGAAGCAAAATTCAAACTAATGAAACTGGACTGTTCAAGACCCTACCAAACCTATTGCAAACCACACGCTGATATTTGTTATTGTTTCTAACAGACCATTAAGAAGGAACACTATTTTAAGCTGGAAAATTGATCTTTTGAGCACTATCAGCAGGAGTGATGATTTCCAAATCTTGTAAAAAGGTATTACATAAAGAATCCTGTACAGTGGCATTTTCAAACTATTACCCTAAAGTGTCGTAATAGGAGCGGCAACATTTTCTTTGTAAGCTGAGACATGTATTAACGCAACGTTGCGGCTTTCAGATAACATGTTTTTCTAGCGTGCTCCAGTTTAACTGGTAGGACCTT